AATAACCCACGTATAAACTTCTCAATATCTACACGCTGACTATATCAAAAAAAAATAAAAAAAAACATATAATTTATAAAACAAATATAATATATATATATATATATATATATATATATATATATATATAAATATTTACACTTTTTAATTTATCTAATTCATGTCTTGCTCTATCTCTTTCTCTGATCATATCTGCCAATTCTAAATTCTTTGAACGCATATCTTTTTCCATTCTCTCCAACTTGTCAATAGATTCTTGCGCAGAGTTTGCTTTCAGTTGTGCTACCTTAAACTTATTGATCAAGTCAAGATGCTCTTGTCGAAGTTGTGAATACAATTTAGCCAAAGATTCATATTTATTCCTCCACATTATAATTTGATCTTTAAAGAAAAAAATCAAAAAAAAAAAGTTTCAAATTAAAAAAAAATATTTTTTTTAATAGCATTATGAATAATTAATATTAATAATACCTTGTAAATTTTTTATTACATCATCCTTGGAAGCAATTTGTTGTTGAGCATTCAAAGTAAGTTGATTCATGTCATTTTCAAAAGCTTTAACTTTCTAAAAATAACAAAAGAATAAAATCAAAATATTATAAATCTATTATAGAGAAAAACTCTGTTTTTCCTTCCGTAATATTTAAAAAAGATTTTTTTTTTACCCTATCATATTGATCCATTATCATTTTATCACGATCAATATGTTGTCTCAGGTTCAATAATTCTCTTTCCAATTCAGCAACTCTCCCTTCTGCTTGTCTTTGCATTTGTTCCCTTAATAATTGTTCTCTAGCTAATCTTTCACGTTCTTGATTTAATCTATATTGCTCTTCCATTTCTCTTTGTCTTTGAAGATCCGTCAAACGTTTTTGTTCGAGTTCACGTTCATGTTGTTGTTGGAGTTCTCTTTGTTTTTCTTCAACCAAATGTCGTTGTCTTTCCAATTCATGCTGCTGTCTTTCATTTTCTTTCAATATTTCTGCCACTGTTTCTGGCTCTGAAGTTGTTGATGGAGCTGGTGATTTTGACTGTACACGTTTTGGCAATGATGATGGAGCACCGCCATCAATTAAACTTGGAGGATCCTATTATTATTATTTTGATTAAAAAAAAAAGAGGTTAATATAATATAATATAAATATAAATATATAATATAAAAATTTAGTATACCTGTTGTAATTTTGGCACACTAATTAAACTGGTTAAATATTTTAAGTTTGAACATTCATAATAAAATTTTAATAAAGCATAATGTTGTGCATTATATCTGGTACGAAGGGGCGTTAAGGCGTCAACAGCGTCTGTATGCTGATGCATAGCTTTAAGCATGCTGGTTAAAAATTTATAAATACCATAGCTTTCTTCCACTAATGGAACAAGAGCAGCTATTCTACATTCATTGTTAGATGATGGACGAAATTGTACAAAAATCAATTTTTGAAATTGATCAATTTGATCTTGCAAATTCATCAAATCATTTATTGTCTCATATCTATTTTTTTTAAAAAAAAAAACAAAGTAAAATAAATAAAAACGATTAAATTTAAATAAATCCAATTGACAAAATTGATCTTTATACATA